GCTACCATACCTACCTACCTCTAGAATACCTACCTACCTAGCTACCCTAGCCTACCTAGATACCACTCCTACCTAGCTACCTACCTACTACCTACCTACCTACCTACCTACCTCTACCTAACCTAGATACCTACGACTACCTAGCCTACACTACCTACCTACTACCTACCCTACCTACCTACTACTAGATACCTACCTACCTACTACACCTCCTCCTACCTACCTCCTACCTACCTTCCTAATACCTACCTACACTAGATACCTAGCTACCTACCTACCTAGCTACCTACCTACCTACCTACCTACCTACCTACATACCTACCTACCTACCTAGCTACCTACCTACCTAGATACCTAGCTACCTACCTACCTACCTACCTAGCTACCTACCTACCTACCTACCTAGCTACCTACCTACCTACCTAGATACCTAGCTACCTACCTAGCTACCTACCTACCTAGATACCTAGCTACCTACCTACCTACCTACCTACTACCTACCTAGATACCTAGCTACCTACTACCTACCTAGCTACCTACTACCTACCTACTACCTACCTGCCTAGCTACCTAGCTACCTACCTACCTAGATACCTACCTACCTAGATACCTAGCTACAAACCGTCCGTCCGTCCGTCCTACCTTCCTTCCTACCTACCTACCTACCTACCTACCTACCTACCTACCTACCTACCTACCTAGCTACCTACCTACCTACCTTCCTAGATACCTACCTACCTACCTACCTACCTACCTACCTACCTAGCTAGCTACCTACCTAGATACCTAGCTAGCTACCTACCTAGCTACCTACCTACCTACCTACCTACCTACCTACCTACCTACCTACCTACCTACCTACCTACCTAGATACCTAGCTACCTACTACCTACCTGCCTAGCTACCTAGCTACCTACCTACCTACCTACCTACCTACCTAGATACCTACCTACCTAGATACCTAGCTACAAACCGTCCGTCCTACCTACCTACCTACCTACCAACCTACCTACCTAGATACCTAGATACCTACCTACCTAGATACCTACCTACCTACCTACCTACATACCTACCTAGCAACAAACCGTCCGTCCGTCCTACCTACCTACTTACATACCTACCTACCTACATAGCTACATAGCTACCTACTTACCTACCTACCTACCTATCTACCTACATACCTACCTAGATACCTACCTACCTACCTACCTACCTACATAGCTACCTACTTACCTACCTACCTTCCTAGCTACCGACCGACCGACCGACCGACCGACCAATCTACCTACCTACCACTCTCTCTGCCTGCACGGTCCATTGACACCCTGCCCACACGTTGTGGTCACCAGCCCTCATCAGTGTTGGTCGCCTGCCCTGCCTGCTCACTGTTTGGCTGACTGGGGGTGTTAACCTCTGACCTCCCCCCCCCCATCCAGGTTCACTGTGGGTCATGACGGGACCGAGCCGGACCAGGAAGAAAACTTCTGGTCTCAGGCCCTGGAAGATCTGGAGACCTGCGGCCAGTCTGGCATCCTGAGGGAACTGGAGGTAAACAAGGAGCCAAAATGTCAGAATACATCGACAGTTTCATTCATCACAGTAGATCTAATATGGCTGAGGACATGTACAGTTTCATTCATCACAGTACAATACTAACACAACACTGACAAACCAACGCATCTTCTAGACCAGCGGCTTTACTTATACAGTAACATATTGGTGAAGAAAAGCTCTCAACTCACCTTTCACCTCCTCTGTCCCCATCCCTTCCACTTCCTGTTTTGGAGTTCTCGCATGATGTCACTTCCTGTGGATGTGTGTAACCGCTCCTTCTCTTTCCAGGATGAGCCAGACAGGCTTCTGAATAAGAGAAACTTGGTACCCCCTTTTCCTTTTTTGGGCTTCCTCTGCTTGTAGCTGACACTGTGGCACCCTGGTGCTGTCCCTGGACTGCTGCCATCTCTCATGCTAGCATGAGGAGAGAGAGAGCGAGAGAGATGCGAGAGAAGAAGAGAAAGAGGAATAGAGAAGAGAGATGAGCGAGAGAGAGAGAGAGCTTAACGAAAGTAGACGATAAGAACGATAAAATTCTCTCTCTCTCTTCTCTCTCTCTCTATCTACTCTCTCTCTCTCTCTCTCATCTCTTTCTTCTCTCTCTCTCTCTCTCTCTGCTCTACTCTCTCTCTGTGTCTCTCTATCTGTTCTTCTCTCATCTCTGTTGTCTCTCTCTCTGTGTCTCTCTCTTATGTGTGTCTCTCTCTGTTTCTCTCTATTCTTGTGTCTCTCTCTCATCTTGTTCTTCTCTGTGTGTTCTCTCTCTCTTGTGTGTCTCTTCTCTCTCTTCTTCTGTGTGTGTCTTCTCTCTCTTGTGGTTTCTCTCTCTCTCTGTTGTCTCTCTCTCTTTGTGTCTCTCTCTGTTCTCTTTCTCTGTGTGTGTCTCTCTCTCTCTCTCTCTCTGTGTCTCTCTTGTGTGTCTTTCTCTTTTGTCTCTCTCTCTCTTTGTGTCTTCTCTTTCTCTCTCTTGTGTTCTCTCTTCTCTTCTCTCTTCTCTGTGTTGTCTCTCTCTTCTTCTGTGTCTCTCTCTCTTCTCTCTGTTTGTGTCTGTCTCTCTCTCTCTCTCTCGTGTGTTCTCTCTCTCTTTCTATCTGTTCTCTCTCTTCTGTGTGTGTCTCTCCTCTTTGTTCTCTACTCTGTGTTCTCTCTCTGTGTGTCTCTCTCTGTGTGTCTCTCTCTCTGTGTCTCTCTCTCTGTGTCTCTCTCTCTGTGTGTCTCTCTCTCTGTGTGTCTCTCTGTGTGTCTCTCTCTCTCTGTGTGTGTGTCTCTCTCTCTCTCTCTCTCTCTCTGTGTGTGTCTCTCTCTCTCTCTCTCTCTCTCTCTCTCTCTCTCTCTCTCTCTCTGCCTGCGGGAGGTGCACTGTAGGCTCTGATGATCACCAGTGCAGCTACCCTAACTCTATGGCCTGACATCCATAGAGGTCCATCCACCCTGGCCATAGATTCAAACCCTACCTCTATGGCCAGACATCCATAGAGGTCCATCCCGCCTGGCCATAGAACCACGGCTAACCACAGGCTGAACACTCCCTGTTCTGTCTTCAAGCCTAGACACATAGGAGAATCTAACTGCTAATATATCCTTGTGTATTTAAGGCACGACACTAAGAAAAAACGTTCATCTTCATGTGAGAGGCAACCGTACACATTTTTTCTCTTTGTAAAACTAATTTATCAAGGTTGAAATATTGCATCCTTGATTGTGAGTTAGACTAGCTAGCGAAATCTCAGTACGGCACAATATGTTGTCATCTATGAAGGTGCGAACATTACACATTTAGACGTTGTTTGGCACCCTATTTCCTATATTGTACACTACATGGCACCCTATTTCCTATATTGAACACTACATGGCACCCTATTTCCTATATTGTACACTACATGGCACCCTATTTCCTATATTGTACACTACCTGGCACCCTATTTCCTATATTGTACACTACATGGCACCCTATTTCCTATATTGTACACTACATGTCATCCTATTTCCTATATTGTACACTACATGGCACCCTATTTCCTATATTGTACACTACATGGCACCCTATTTCCTATATTGTACACTACATGGCACCCTATTTCCTATATTGTACACTACATGGCACCCTATTTCCTATATTGTACACTACCTGGCACCCTATTTCCTATATTGTACACTACATGGCACCCTATTTCCTATATTGTACACTACATGGCACCCTATTTCCTATATTGTACACTACATGGCACCCTATTTCCTATATTGTACACTACATGGCACCCTATTTCCTATATTGTACACTACATGGCACCCTATTTCCTATATTGTACACTACATGGGCCCAGTACTATAAAGGGAAAAGGGTACCATTTGGGATGCACACCTGTAGTTCTGCTGGAAGTGACGCTCAGCAATACATTCTAAATGAACCTTGAAATGAAGTCTTAATGCAGGAAGTAAGTAAGGAACACAGTGTATAGAGTCATAGAGCTTAGCTTGGGAATAGTCTGAAGGGAAATAATAGTCCTTTCAGTTTGGAGACATTAAATCAAGGAGGCTTGACTGAATTAAATGCCACCTCAACTTGAATTGAATATACCCCGTGGCTCCTCATTCGCTTTAAATGAAGACGTCTGCCTTCGGTTCATTCGTGTCAGTAGCGAAGAGCATTTTTGCATTTGTCAACATGAAAACTGGCAAATTGTATGTTGGAATGAATTTGCACATCTTCCATTTAGAGCCAAAGCACTACACCTTGTGTCTCGGTGCATGGAGACTGTGACAGTGTGTTGTTCCCCAAGCTGTTTCTGTTGCTGCAACACCTCTATGCATCAGCTTGGGTGAAACAGTGTTCAGTTTCACTTGTTTTGTCACAAAACACCAGGACTACCATGGTCTGGTGGTTTTGAATGACATCACTCATAACTGTCCCAATCAGAGTGAGGAGTGATGATGATGATGATGTGGCGATGGGCATGGCGGTGTGAGCAAAGCATGATGGGACAGCTGCTGCAAAGCGTCTTGGGTTTGGAAGATTTCCAGTCTTTGTTAGTTAGTTTATTTATTGGGTGATGATGATGATGATGATGAAGAATGGAAGATAATAAACAGGATGTTTTTATTCTACAGTCAAAACATCTCTCTTTGACATACTGCTTGAATACTAAATATATTTATACACCCGGAACAATTCTCATGTCCATGACCTTGCACTTCATATCTCACTTTGGAAGTTCACCACCATAACCCCCTTTTGAGAACACGAGGGGCATAGAAAGGGAAGCATAAAGAAGAGAAGAAGCAAAGGAAGAAAAAGAGAAGAAAAGAAAGGAAGAAAAAGAAAGGAAGCACGACCAAGAAAGAGAATAAAGAAAGACGAAAAAGAAAATGCCATTAGGAAAACCATAATGACACAGCCTCCTCCCACCCTCCCTCCTTCCATCCCCCCCCCCCCCCAGGCCACCATTATGTCTGGCAGCAGTATGAGTCTGAACCATGACCCTGCTCCTCTGAGGAGCCACCTGGGTCGGCAGGCCAGCTTCCAGGAGCGCAGTGCAGCCCGGCCGCAGTGCAACCAGTCCTCACGCTCCAACACACTGCCCAGCGACGGGGGGCGCAAGGCCTTCGCCATGAGGAAGATGAAGCAGGAGATGAAGGACATCATGTCGCCCACCCCCGTGGAGCTGCACAAGGTAACGATGATAGAGCACCACCCAGACCCTCCAGGGCTGATTTTCTTTACGCCGTTGACATCACTTCCTGTCATGGAACGTCAGAGGGGTTAAAAACCCTGTGAAGGTAAGAAAGTTCTGACGCATTTTAAGCGTTTGCGTATCTTCAACTTTATTTATGATGAAGCTCCGGTACTGTCAGCAGACACAGCCAGTCATCCAGTCTATCAACCATGCTATGCTGTCAGCAGACACAGCCAGTCATCCAGTCTATCAATCATGTTATGCTGTCAGCAGACACAGCCAGTCATCCAGTCTATCAATCACGTTATGCTGTCAGCAGACACAGTCAGTCATCCAGTCTATCAATCATGTTATGCTGTCAGCAGACACAGCCAGTCATCCAGTATATCAATCATGTTATGCTGTCAGCAGACACAGTCAGTCATCCAGTCTATCAATCACGTTATGCTGTCAGCAGACACAGCCAGTCATCCAGTCTATCAATCACGTTATGCTGTCAGCAGACACAGCCAGTCATCCAGTCTATCAATCATGTTATGCTGTCAGCAGACACAGCCAGTCATCCAGTCTATCAATCACGTTATGCTGTCAGCAGACACAGCCAGTCATCCAGTCTATCAATCATGTTATGCTGTCAGGAGACACAGCCAGTCATCCAGTCTATCAATCATGTTATGCTGTCAGCAGACACAGCCAGTCATCCAGTCTATCAATCATGTTATGCTGTCAGCAGACACAGCCAGTCATCCAGTCTATCAATCATGTTATGCTGTCAGCAGACACAGCCAGTCATCCAGTCTATCAATCACGTTATGCTGTCAGCAGACACAGCCAGTCATCCAGTCTATCAATCATGTTATGCTGTCAGCAGACACAGCCAGTCATCCAGTCTATCAATCACGTTATGCTGTCAGCAGACACAGCCAGTCATCCAGTCTATCAATCATGTTATGCTGTCAGCAGACACAGCCAGTCATCCAGTCTATCAATCACGTTATGCTGTCAGCAGACACAGCCAGTCATCCAGTCTATCAATCATGTTATGCTGTCAGCAGACACAGCCAGTCAACCAGTCTATCAATCACGTTATGCTGTCAGTAGACACAGTCAGTCATCCAGTCTATCAATCACGTTATGCTGTCAGCAGACACAGCCAGTCATCCAGTCTATCAATCACGTTATGCTGTCAGCAGACACAGCCAGTCATCCAGTCTATCAATCACGTTATGCTGTCAGCAGACACAGCCAGTCACCCAGTCTATCAATCATGCTATGCTGTCAGCAGACACAGCCAGTCATCCAGTCTATCAATCATGTTATGCTGTCAACAGACACAGCCAGTCATCCAGTCTATCAATCATGTTATGCTGTCAGCAGACACAGCCAGTCATCCAGTCTATCAATCACGTTATGCTGTCAGCAGACACAGCCAGTCATCCAGTCTATCAATCACGCTATGCTGTCAGCAGACACAGCCAGTCATCCAGTCTATCAATCACGTTATGCTGTCAGCAGACACAGCCAGTCATCCAGTCTATCAATCACGTTATGCTGTCAGCAGACACAGCCAGTCATCCAGTCTATCAATCACGTTATGCTGTCAGCAGACACAGCCAGTCATCCAGTCTATCAATCACGTTATGCTGTCAGCAGACACAGCCAGTCATCCAGTCTATCAATCACGTTATGCTGTCAGCAGACACAGCCAGTCATCCAGTCTATCAATCATGTTATGCTGTCAGCAGACACAGCCAGTCATCCAGTCTATCAATCACGTTATGCTGTCAGCAGACACAGCCAGTCATCCAGTCTATCAATCACGTTATGCTGTCAGCAGACACAGCCAGTCATCCATTCTATCAATCACGTTATGCTGTCAGCAGACACAGCCAGTCATCCATTCTATCAATCACGTTACGCTGTCAGCAGACACAGCCAGTCATCCAGTCTATCAATCATGTTACGCTGTCAGCAGACACAGCCAGTCATCCAGTCTATCAATCACGTTATGCTGTCAGCAGACACAGCCAGTCAACCAGTCTATCAATGAACTGAATTATTTATACCAGGTTAAATTATTCATTGATAGTTGATGACATTATTGATTGATTTTGCAGGTGAGTCTGTTGAAGGAGTCGGACCTCGAAGACTTTGGCTTCAGCGTGTCGGACGGCCTCCTGGAGAAAGGCGTTTATGTTAACAACATCTGCGCAGGGGGACCTGCAGAGGTCGGGGGGCTGAAGTCCTACGACAGGCTGCTACAGGTACACACACACACACACACACACACACACACACACACACACGGACTGTCCTAGCTGCTTCAGTTGATAATGAACTGTGGACAAATATATACTGTATGTATATATATTAGGGCTGTCAAAAATAGCGCGTTAACGACGTTAATTAGTTGTTTGCTGTTAATTACGTCAATTTTTTTAACGCATTTCACGCATGCGCAGTGTGACAAATTATTCAGGTCAGGAAAGTGGTTGGGAGCTAGAGGCGAGATGGAGCAAGGTGAGCAAAGTGGGCCTATTGACGGATTCAAATATAAAAAGAATGATGATGGTACAGTTAACAAGTACAAGGTTATTTGCAAGATTTGTAAGAAGGAGTTTCAATTTCACCGGAGCTGTTCAAGCTTGAAGTACCATGTCAACGCCAAACATGCGTTTGCTGGGCCGTCAGATTCAGCAAGTGGTTTGCGCCAGACCACGCTGAATGTTTGCAGGCAATTAACAAAATCAACCTCAGATAATTTGACCAACACAATAGCAAAATGGATTGCAAAGGATTGTAGACCCATTAGCATTGTAGAAGACTCAGGTTTCCTTGATGTTTTGCAAGTGGCGTCTCAAGACTCATTCTATAAGCCACCGTCAAGAGCCACAGCCAAAGACAAATATTATGGTGTGTAGTATGTTTCAGCTTGATTTAAAACACCATTATTTGGCTGTGTTAATAAACAGACATAATATGAAAATTATGTATCTGTGTCCTGTTATTTATCTTTTGGTATGCATTTCAGAAAAAAAATGGTTAGGATTCAGGTGTAATTGCAAATAGTGATTAATCATGATTAATCCACAGAAAATTCTGATTAATTTGATTAAAAATTTTAATCATTTGACAGCCCTAATATATATATATATATATTTTTAAACAAAACATCCACATACAAACGACAACATACTGACGCACACAAACATCAACTACATCCCACCTGCCCAGACCCACCTGATCCCACCCCAGTCTCCAGCGCCCGCATCCCTCTCCGCCACGTGGCCTCAAACTGCCTGCACCGTTTTGTTTCTCTCTGTCACCCATTGCACTTTCAACGTTTAGATAATAAATCATTTGACCTTTCCAATATTTTCTATTTCCAACATGTAGCTAAAAGGTAGTAAGTAGATATGGATGTTAGTCACAGAGCCTCAGAGCTCCCTAACGTAGAGAGTATCTACGCAGTTCATAGAACGTCAAAGGGGTTTTTGTATTTCTTGGCCCAAATTGATACACAACATTGGCATAATTTCCCCCCTGGTCTAAATGAGGCTGACTTTGCGGAGAAAGTCCCGTTGATGGATAGATGAATCCCTCTCCAGGGAAGCTATCAATCTAGTAAAAGTCTCATTAACATATGAAGAGGAGAGAACGGGTTGTCTCATGTTGTCTTGAAAAGAAAGGAAAGTCGCTCTCATTATTCGCTGCTCAGTGAGAGACTCTCGTTCCTTATCAGCTGTCCTCAGGTCACCGTTGTTGTTTCGAAAGCACAAACAAGGAACTCAACTACAATTTCGTCTGCTGACATCAGGTGAAAGTCAACGTGGGACGATATTCAACTTTTATATGTTGATATTTTCAAGTCACCGACAATGTTGTTTAAGGAGAGGAACTGCAATTTTCTTCTGATAGCCAAGGTGATACATTATTCAGCTTTTATGTTTCTAGTCGGGTAATGGAAGGGTACATCAGTCAATATTAGCCAGCTACACACAGGAGCAGAGGGAGAGAAGGGATCTGGGTTTACCAACTGTTTACCTGAAGGTTTGAACAGAGTAGATGTATTCATCTTGTACGCTTCGAACTGAAAATGAAAGGAAACTGCTCTGAGGCGAAGCCTGAAGTAAAGATTTCAGCCTCAAGAAATACAAATATTAGATTTGTATTTATTTTTAAAGCTTTTAAACCAAAGCTTTTAAACCACCATAGCGGCAAACCTCTGCTCACCCGATGATGGTCGAACAGAGGTTTTCCAAAAGCGGACCTCCAATCTGTGCTGCTAGCTGGAAACTCAAGTCATTTCCTTTTGTTGCCTCTGTAACATCTGAGTTGAAACTTAATTCAATGGACCTCAAAGCTTTTAAACCAAATATAAATAACTCATAACTTTCCCATGTCTTTGCTTTCTCAGATCAACCATGTGAGGACCAGAGACTTCGACTGCTGTCTGGTGGTCCCTCTGATTGCTGAGTCAGGCAACAATCTGGACCTGGTGATCAGCAGGAACCCTGCTTCCTCCAGGACCGGGTCCCAGTCAGAACTGAACCAACTACCCACCGAGGAGCCCGTCATCAACTGGACCGAGCCGGGGGAGAGCCTCTCTGGCCCTCCACCGAACCAGAACCACCACTCCTTATCCAGGATGGCTGCCGGGATCGGGGTGACTGGTATCGGGGTGGCGCTGGCCGGGGCTGAGCTAGATGACAGAGACCCCTCTAAGACCTTATAGTGGAGGTCTGAAGGCTCAAGGCTCTGTCTGTCTGATAGCCAGCGCCGGCCCTTCCCCTGCGAGTTAGCCTCCCCCTGGTGCGCCGGCCCTTCCCCTGCGAGTTAGCCTCCCCCTGGTGCGCCGGCCCTTCCCCTGCGAGTTAGCCTCCCCCTGGTGCGCCGGCCCTTCCCCTGCGAGTTAGCCTCCCCCTGGTGCGCCGGCCCTTCCCCTGCGAGTTAGCCTCCCCCTGGTGCGCCGGCCCTTCCCCTGCGAGTTAGCCTCCCCCTGGTGCGCCGGCCCTTCCCCTGCGAGTTAGCCTCCCCCTGGTGCGCCGGCCCTTCCCCTGCGAGTTAGCCTCCCCCTGGTGCGCCGGCCCTTCCCCTGCGAGTTAGCCTCCTCCTGGTGCTACTGTAGAAAACCACTCTGATGAGACAGGGGGTCAATCTAAAAATGGAGCCCTATTGCATGTGTAGGGCACTACTTCTGTCCAGAGCCTCTTTGCAGGCTAACCCTCACAGCTCTGGCTAAACGTAGTGCACTACCAAGGGAATAGGGTACCATTTAGGACACAGACAGACAGACAGACAGACAGACAGACAGACAGACAGACAGTGTTCCTAGGTGGACGGTGGGGGCCCGGGCCGCTAAGTCAAAGCACACTGACAAAAACTAAACTCCTTCCTCTGAGCCACAATCACAAGAGGTTCCCTCTCCTCTTCCTCCTTCACACTGGGGACTACTGGCTACTGTGTGCACCTCTAGCCCAATAACTACAAGGAACTTCAAAAAGATGGAGGCAACATCGACCACACTGACCTCTTGGAAAATACCTGAGACAAAAACGAATAACAGTGAAGAAGTGAAATAATAGTGCCATCCAATCTATCCATCCTTTTTTATTACTGCAGCTGGACAATAAAACAGGAACACACTTCTGTTCTTTAAAACAAAAGGGAAAAAAAAAAGAACATTTGCTGAAACGTTTCCATGTGATGCTGGACTGGCCACTCTGTAAGTGTATGTGTATGTTTGTGCGCGTTCACCACTGCTGCATCACGGCGTGACTGAAACAAGGCCAGAGCGAAACAAACCCTCCATATTGTTTTTCTAGGAGTCCTTCCTTCTCTCCCTTTCTCTCTGTCTCTCTCGCTCTGTCCTTCCTTCTCTCCCTTTCTCTCTGTCTCTCTCGCTCTGTCCTCCTTCTCTCCCTTTCTCTCTGTCCTCCTCCTCTCCCTTTCTCTGTCTCTCTCGCTCTGTCCTTCTTTCTCTCTGTCTCTCCCGCTCTGTCCTTCTTTCTCTCTGTCTCTCGCTCTGTCCTTCCTCCTCTCCCTTTCTCTCTGTCTCTCTCGCTCTGTCCTTCCTCCTCTCCCTTTCTCTCTGTCTCTCTCGCTCTGTCCTTCCTCCTCTCCCTTTCTCTCTGTCTCTCTCGCTCTGTCCTTCTTTCTCTCTCGCTCTGTCCTTCTTTCTCTCTCGCTCTGTCCTTCTTTCTCTCTGTCTCTCTCGCTCTGTCCTCCTCCTCTCCCTTTCTCTCTGTCTCTCTCGCTCTGTACTTCTTTCTCTCTGTCTCTCTCGCTCTGTCCTCCTTCTCTCCCTTCAGACCTGGGTCTAACTAGCTCTCTATTCCCAGTGATTTCTAAATGATTTCTACAGAAAAAAATATCAGTACTGCTTCTCACTTCTTCCCAATGATTTCTAATGATTTTTAAGTAGACTATTTCACTTGAAAAAAACATATGGAAAATACCACAATATTTTTACGTTAGCCCCATTTAGTTTCTCAGGCTGGTACTGTAGACTGAGGAGGAGGATGTTGAAACGAGGACAGTCAGGCATCCCCTTGGGCTTCATCACAATGCGTTTGGCAGACGAGATATGGTGTGATGTCTCCTATCCATGTATGTCACCAAGCTCACTGGTTGACCTAGAAGCATAATATATAAAACCCTTTAGAAAGTGATTTAAAAAAGCTAGCTTTGGGGAGGAGAAGAAAGAAGCAGCTTTATCTAGGCTACACGCAATTAGAAAGAAAGAAAATCGTACCCGCCGTACAATCTGCAATTCCCAAACAAAATGGCGACTTCTCTGAATCATAGAATACAGGGTCACCATTTCCCTTATAACAAGGAGGTGGTACTGAAGCACCTTATCCTTCATTTGGACATAATCTATTTTCATAAATAGATGCAGAAGAGATGTGTTTTACCGTACGAGAGGTAATATATGCAATGTGAGCATAGCTTCCTTACAGCTACACTGGAGGAAGTCCTGTCTGACTTGATTGCATGCAGTATGTGTGAAATAGGTATGCTAACATTGTGCTGTTACAGGGACCAGAGAGAGATTTTTGCTGTTGTTGTGATATCCAATTAGTAGTTACAGTCTTGTCCCATCGCTGCAACTCCCGTACGGACTCGGGAGAGGCAAAGGTCGAGAGCCATGTCTCCTCCGAAACACGACCCTGCCAAGCCGCACGGCTTCTTGACACACTGCTCGCTTAACCCGGAAGCCAGCCGCACCAACGTGTCGGAGGAAACACCGTACAACTGGCGACCGAAGTCAGCTTGCAGGTGCCCGGCCCACCACAAGGAGTCGCTAGAGCGCGAT